AGTCAAACTCTGCAGGCCCACAGGTCAGCGCATCTGCGCAGCCGCAGGCGTCGGCTAGTGCATTTCCTGTGCCAGGAAAACCTTTACTCCCTGCCACTAGTCATGACTTACACCAGATGCTTTCTCAGCTACCCTCAAAAATCGCTTATGGCATCTTGGATATTGATCTAGACGGTGCTGGGAAGATTCAGCTCCCCCGTCGAGAGTTATGGGATGTCCGAGTTCAGCTCATGGCCGAAGACGACGGAGGTGATACCGAACCCGGACTGGGCAATCATGATGTGAAGACCGGAGTCTACGAAGGCGGATTTAAATCCTGGGAGAGCAGTGTGGATCTCGTCAAGGTCCTCTCGCTGTCAAAATCCTTCCTTTCTGACACGGACACGGTCCCGAGGCTGATCGAGGTAAGTCTTCTCGGTCGTAATCGACAAGGACTGCAGAAATAACCAACTAGACATCTCCAGCTCGGTTGCGGCACGGCCCTCCCCTCATTGGCGCTCTTCCAGTGGAGCCTCAGTCTTCAGGCGCCCGAGAAGAACTTTGCTCTCTCCATAGTCTTAGCCGACTATAATCCAACTGTCCTACAGCTCGTGACATTGCCCAACTTTATCCTAAGTTGGGCTCTTCATCAACGAGCAGATTCGCCTCTGCTAGAAAGTGCCTTCTCATCAGAGGAGGAGCTGGATCTGACACCAGAAGTTCTTAAAGCCTTCGATGAATTCCTTACGGCTCGCAAAATCTCTCTTTCTTTCTTTTCCGGCGCCTGGTCTACCGAGTTTATCAATCTCTTGAACTCCGATAAAACTTCCAAAATAGGGAATAAATCCGGTCAGCGAACAATTATACTTGGTGCAGAGACCATTTATTCCCCTTTTGCTCTCAGCGCATTTACGCAGACCATATTCTCTTTGCTCAAAGAGGAGAAGGCGCAGGGTAATGCGGCTGAAGCATTAGTTGGTGCCAAAAAGCTCTACTTCGGTGTGGGCGGCTCGTTAGACGACTTCGTCACCAAGACTCGAGAGATGGGTGCCAACGTCGAAGAGCTCCGAGAAGAGACGGAAGGCGTCCGTCGCGGTGTTGTTCGTTGTAGCCTTCCTTAAAACATTGATCATAGTTATCCAAGGCCCCTGGGTAAATCTGTGACAGCAACGGACTGTAGCTTTAGGAAGCATCAGATCTGAGTCCTAATTCGAGCCGCCCAGCCCGACTACCCAGAGTATATCTTGGGGCCACGAAACTGCTGTTTCCTCATTGGAAATCAACCATCGAGTTTAATGCATGAATCGACTTCCATAGTCGCAACCTTATAGTTAGTTGAGTCAATGGATAAGGGCTGGCATCATGTTTCAACTCCCTGACTTTCTGATTTTGCCTGCTGGAACGACAGTGTGTGGGCAGCGAACCTAGAACTGAGCTGATCTTCGGTGCAAATGCCGGTACTAGTAAGGCACTATCTTGTTCTTGTTATATTTGTATGGCCAAGGAGGGCAAACTAGCCAGCAACATGTTGTCTCCCGAAAGGCAATACAACAAAAATGAAACATATTGTGTAGACAATCTCCCAGGGTATTATTGATTAGGTTTTAGTTGAGCCTTATCTCAATCATCAAACTCATAGAAGATCATGCTAAGCACGTTGAGGAGTGTAGACGGTTAATAAGGGGCATCTTCTGAGGTCATTTACAGATTCGGGAATGATGGGTTATGGTTATGGAGAACCCCCTAAATTGCATATGTGGTGCCTGGGGAAGCTGCAAGGAGGGTTCTGACTGGGAGCACCCCTGTAACTTATATCCAATTGGGTCTTTAATGCAGGAACTAATCACCTAAGACTGACAAACTAGACATATGTAGCGTGGATTTGGCGAGATTGCGCGGCCCCACACATCTGCTTTAGGTTACACGGCTGCACGAGTCGAGATCCTGCCGCGAACCGGACTTTGTACTTTCATTGTCTACGCCCCTTATCCGTAGACCTCGTCGGATAGACAATGTTTGTAAACTCTTGCTTGAACCTAAATGTAAACGATATTGTAAATGTTTAATGCCCTTCGTACATACCTTAGGTATGCAGAGATACCTAGCTATTCCAATGAGGCTCTAAATATCCTAGAGGACCTTACTGGTAGTACATAGGTACTAAGTTGGCAGGCACTGCCGAATGAAATCATATGACATTTTTCATAGGCGGATAATACGCAGTGCTAGCGTACAAGCCCCTGGTTGTGTGTCCGAGGCTGCACGTCATGCTCTGATCTTGGCGTACGCAGCATTTTTACTGCATGTGTTTATATAATTCGAGTCGACTTAGGTATGTAATCGGCACAAGTAATTATATTCGTCATGCCTCAAGCTGGAGGAGAGAAGCTTGGAAAGAAAGTCTTCTAGACCTGATTAGGTTACTAGGTAGGATTCAATAGGGCAAACATTGGGTGCAACTGCAGTACATAATGGTTCAGACTAGGTCTACGTAAGGTCCTAGGCTTAATGGGCGGAGATAATTGGCTGGAATTGATCTATAATAACCGGACCAAGATTAGCTCTTTCCTCGAAAAGGAAAGGCACATGGCTTGGTGAAGATTGGAAAGGTTGCCTAATTGCATATTTCTAGGCAAGTCCGTCCTAATTAAGCTAAATTGGGATTAGTCAAATGGAATTTTAGCCGTTCCTGGCTTCCAAAGTTGGTGGTGCTATCGCAAGTCAATCTTGCATTTGCGCTTGCCAATTTCCCCCGGGACGCGGCCTTGCACTTTCCTGGCCTGCTGGCGCACACAACCTGTTGGACAAGAACCTTCTCTTTTTTCTTTCGTGCCAGCTGCTCACCTGAGCTTCCATTCCTTTTTCAACCTTCACACGCTCATTATCCAAATCCGGTTCTCTTGTCGCCTTTTCGCGTACAATCTTTTAATTCCAACAACATCGGTAAGTTTGCGATTTGTTTTATGCTATATAGCCCGCGAGAGAAACCTCAGACAACCTACTTCTACCTGCTGGCTCGCTACGTCGCAACGGTCTTTAAGATCTCAATCGGCAAGTGGAAAGTTACGGTTTATGGGACTGAACTACTGAACATCATCTAACGTCTCTGCGGATAACGTCAGTTACGTGTGAGCTCTACTAATCTTGTTCTCGTCCCTCCACAGATCATCTCGTCACTCTTTAGATACTCTAATACTTTCTACCACGAGCCAAAATGAAGGCCTCTTTCGTCACTGCCGTCCTTGCCGCCCTCCCGGCCTGGGTTAGTGCGGTCGCCATCACCAACACCAACTTCAACGGCATCGAGACTGGCAAGCCTTTCGAGATCACCTGGTCCGATGCTGCTGGCCCCGTTTCTCTCACCTTGAAGGATGGCCCCTCTGACAACCTCAAGACCGTCTCCGAGATTACCTGTAAGTCTTACAAAAACTTGATAGCCCACTCACTAGACCCATTGCTAACGATACACAGCCGGCCAGACTGGCACGAGTTACACTTGGGTCCCTTCTTCCTCGCTGTCTTCTGGCACCTACGCCCTCGAGATCAACGACGGCACCGAGGTGAACTACAGCCAGCAGTTCGAGATTACAAGCGGCTCTGCTAGCAGCAGTTCAGTCAGTACCACGGCCTCGCAGACTAGCACGTCTTCGGCCATCTCGTCGACTATTACCTCTAGCAGCTCCACCGTCACTAGCAGTGAGACTTCTTCGACTCCTACTAGTTCTAGCACGTCGTCTGGGTCTTCCAGCTTCACTACCAGCACCAGCACCAGCAGTGGTTCTATCACCTCGTCTAGCACCCATGCTAGTTCCAGTAAGTCAAACATATATATGCGCCTATTAGATTTGGTGAGCTGACAAGTTGTAGCTTCTTCCGCAGCCAAGACCTCGTCTGCTACCTCCGAGACAGTCGTGCCCAACACGAATGCCGCTCAGACGGTGGCTCCGTTTGTGGCCCCGATGCTTCTCGCAGTTGGTGCGCTTTTCGTGTAAGCGCATGATATGACTCGCGCTATTCAACAAGAGTAGCATGATTCTCCCGGTCCGGACGTTTTCGTTGTACAAATACGCTTTTCGCCTCCCGTGCAATGCCATGCACTGGTAGCTGAGGCTTAATGGAAGGGAACATATGATTTAAGAGCTGTTGCTATTAAGGGGATTTCGACGTATGAAGCGTTTTGGGACTACTTCGTTGTATACGTATAGTATCCCAGATCAATGTATAATCTTCTCAGCGACAGGTAGTCTCCGTCGCATAGTCGTGATAAGATCCATCTGCTAGTACTTAATGAGATTCATATCGTTCAGTTAAACTAAGGTCAAGGGCACGTCTGCCAAGGCCATCCTTCTCCACTTACATACCTGATCTAAGACTTCGGTGCGGGAACTCGCATGGTCTAGTAGGAGAATAAGCATGCGAGATAATTATGATGTCTTAAAGCTCGTGTTTCAAACTTGGGCATACTTCCAACAACGGAACTATACTTAAGTTCTTAGGTCTTAGGGCCACAGGGATGTCTTCTCATCTTATTTGGACTGAAACGTATATCCTTTGCGAGTAGTTAGATGGAGATATCAACTAGTATTCTATGCTCTTCTTTTCCTAGTGTCTGCTGAGTAACGTAGACCGTACCAATATAAGCTAGCTCAAGAGAACGACAAATGTACATTCCAACAAAATAACAAACTTAGGTACGTATGCTGTGAAGCGATCATCATAATGTCTAGTTCGCATGTATAAATAGACTTCTAGAATGGGTGGGGAGCTAATGGGTGGGGCATTCCTATGAAATTGTCTTTGAATCTCCACGTGAAAATAATTACAAATTAGCTTCGTCTTCTAGAATTCGCCGTCTTCGATAATAAATATCCTATTGCCTGTTCGTGGTCACCCAAGTCACATTAGTCTAATACGAATGAATGCATTGTTAATATCTAGAATGGGGGGTTTTAACGTACTTATAAGTAGTCAATATTCCGGACGACTAAGAAGAAAAAGGCATGTAACTACATGAAAATCAACTCGCCGTTACTCGACATGTATGTAAGACCGTCACCAAAGCGAACCCAGGAGTCTTTGAGAAGCCTCAATAGTTAGATAGTAACCATAACGTAGTCATGTCATAAAATTTACGAGCTTAACATATATACTAACTACCCATCCTATCCTATCCTGTTTTCAACATGTTTGTAATAGACATCCCGTAGAGAGCGAATGTCTTCTGATGTAAATCCACACTTGGCGAATATTAGAGCCTAGTTTGGTAGGTGGCTGGTCATGTAAACCTTAGCAGCCTTCTCAGTCAACTATTCTGGCCTTGGTGTCGATATAAAATACTCCGGCGTTTCCTAGCATCCAGAACGCGCGAGGTCATGCAACTTCGTTATCCCTACCGCTAACCGCCTTTTCCTCCAAAATTTTTTTTTTTTTCATTACATCATATTTCGTCCCCTCATTCTCGAAATTTATCAGCCTACAACCCCTTCTACCATAAGTAACCTCCTTAAAAGTCGATCTCGCCACGGAACGACTCGGGGTCGACACCAGGTAAAACCTTCTCGGCAAGATCCCTGCGGCCCATCTGCGTGAAAACGCGGCGCAGAGTGTCGTACAAGTTCGTACTTCGGTTTTGGGTGGTCATTGCGTCGAGCTGTGCATCACTAACGCCGCCGCCTAAGAGTTCGCGGGCCTTTTCTCGGCCCTCCTTCTCCACCGTCTTGTGCATGCTGAGCGCCGCCAGCAAGTGGCCGGCCGCCTCCGCGTGACACCCCATGTTAATGCAGCTGACCCCGAGGTTGTACCGCGCGCGCACGAAGTTAGGTTTCAGCGTTAAGGCCTTCTCGTACGCCGCGATCGCGTCCTCGCTCTTGCCGCTATTGGCCAGCGTTGCTCCTAGACGGTTCCACAACAGGTGCACCTGGTTTTGCCGGTTAGACGCCCCAAGCTCGGATGACGCCAACGCCGCCGAAAAGCAGTCCACGGCTTTGTCGTACTCTTCAGCACCGTAGAATAGCACGCCTAGACCTACTTGCACGTCCGGATCCATGTGCTCGCCATCTGGGCTGAGGCGTGCGGCCTTGATGAAGAGTTGTGTAACCCGGTCGTGGAGCTGCTGGCGCTCTGTGAAGCCTATATCGGCCGCGGAGGAGAGGTCGCTAGGTGAGATGACGGAAGGGTATCTGATGGATAGCCATCGCTCTAGGGTTCGGTAAGCTATGCTATCATAGCCTTCGTTCGTATAGGAAACCGCTAGGGTCATGAGTGCGGGTGCGTTATTCGGGTCGAGGTTCTTAGCTTGCTCTAATGCCCGGATAGCTGCCGTCTCCTTCTCGTTTTGCGCCTGAGCCATACCGAGTTGGACCCACGCGTCCACGTGTTTCGGATCCTTTTGAACAGCGGCTTCGAAAGCTAGAGAGGCTAACGAAAGATTGCCACCCTCGTCAACGATCCGCATACCCTCCTCAAACGGGTTTGCGGTGTCCTTAAACAGATTCTCCTCTTCGAAGAGATAGTTCTCTACTTCAGGGTCGCCCATTAACCTGCTATTGGCGCCAGGCATACCCCAGTCTCCAAAGCGATCGGCCCAGTCAGGATCCCCTAACTGCTCAACCCACTCTTCCTCATTGATAGCTTCCTTAGCGGCCGCCTCCTCTGCTCGGATGCCTCTCCAGATAGACTCGAAGTCTCCAAACTCGTTCGTTTCCGACTCTAGAATCTGCTCGTCTAGCTTATTGAGCTCGGGCTCAAGGGCGGCGGCCTCATCTTTTTCCTTCACATCATTCTCCTGTAGCTCGAGTTGCTTGAATTGCTCCTCCCATTGTTGATCGTCTAGTTCCACTACCTTTTCCTTTCCTTTCCCTTTATCTTGAACTGCTTCTGGCGAGAACTGCTGCTGCGGCATAGGACGGTACATGGGCATGCTACTCATACCGTAGCCCATACCCATACCCATGCCGTTCATCGTTCCCATTCCCATCATCGGGTTTTGATACTGCATGGCTGAAGGCATGGGACTCGCTCGGGATGAGTTCGCTTGACTTGTCATCTGCTGAAACTTGGCATAATCTTCGGGGCTGAATTGTGTACCCTGGGGAACCTTGAACGCGGATTCCATCGCTGCCTGTGGGTTCTGCTGGAATTCGTTCGCCCATGCTGGTGAAGTCGAGTTCGCTCGTAGGTGAACACCGTGCGAGGGATGATCTAATCGTATCTGATTTATGCCCTCAAGCGGCATGTCGGGTAGTTGGCCATTTTGCTGCAGAAAGCCGTTCATCATCTATGGATATGTACTATTAGCTTGTGCATTCGTGGTAGGTAGCTATTGATTAGCACTCGTACCTCATCTTGCGGACCATGCTGTGCGGCACTACGAAAGCCGCCCATGCCACCCTGAGGAGTTCCATTTCTAATACGATCTCTTTGTAGACTGTTGTCTTCCTGGGTATGTTTTGCGAACTGGCTGAGAGGGTTGCCCGCCGTGGAGCACTCAGGCCCGCCACCGAGGAAAGACATGTCGGAAGTTGGAAGGGGATTTTATGTACAATCTAACGGATTAAAATTGTGGATTGAACTATGCGCCGAACTATGCTATAGCTCCTTAGTAATGGGTGATAGTAATGGAAGGTTTAGAAAATGTATGTAAACAAGGTCGGTGGCGGCGGAACTTAGTGCACAGATGATCACCTAGCCTAGACGTTTTAAAGGTTAAAAACAAAGTTTGAAAAGGAAAGAATATTCACATGTAACTAGATGAAAGATGAATGATGGGTGAATTTGGGCGAAATGGTTTAGCGGTACCGTAAAACTTTATTACAAAGCCGTTTTGACAACGAGGTGACCTCACTAATGGTAGCGTACCTACCTTATTATGGTACCTAAATGGCCTAAGATGCCGAGGAAAGCCAGAGGCCAGCCACCTGCCACTTACATACAATACATACGGCTTCCGCCGAGTCTACAGACAATCCCAAAGTTACCCTGGTCCTACAGCCCAAACGCTAACTTAATATAGTAAGATACGGGCCACAACTAATTGATTAGATTTGATTGGTTAAATTTAAAAGTCCCACACTCGACTAATCTAACGATTCAATTCAATTCATTCAGTTGTTAAGATATAAGAAATTTATCAACGAAATAATCACGAAATAAGGGGTAATTAGCAAGGGCCGAATGATTGCATGTGTATAAGTATAAATATGTGTGGTGCGAAGTGCGAAGTGCGAATAGCTTCACGTATTTGGTTATCTAATCTGCTATCTACCTATCAGCACGTGACCTGGTCTGTGTAATCCGTCGTACTTAAAATTTTTTTAAAAAAATAATAAAAAATAATAAAAAATAAAATTAATTTAATTAATTTCGAATTAATCTATAATTGATTTTTAATTGATTAGTAATCAATTAAAGATCAATTATTTTATTTTATTTTGAAAGTTGAGCCTAAAGGGCGCTAGAGCGAATCCGGACAGTAGGCTTTACTATCTTGGGTTAGCGTTTGGGCTGTAGGACCGGGGCAACTTTGGGATTGTCAGAGTACTCGCTTCCGCCGAGGTCAATGATTTGCCCCACCAAAAGCTTCGTGGTAACCTTCCATTTGACTGTACATACAATAGGTACCTAGGTACCTAGCGCAATAAGTGGCCCGTGCAAAACAGTGAACCATTTACCATTGGCTTCATGAAAAAGCCTCCAGTTGCGAAATGCCTAAGGTTACAAGTTATATTTACCATGTCACATGAAGCGAATAAGTATTAGAGAGAAGTTTTACATTCAGTTTCCTATGAAAACCAGTTTTGTGCTAACTATCGATATTTGATAGAGGCAGCTCTTCTTAAAAGAACTTGAACTTGTGTTGTTACATACAATAGCTTTCCATTCAATAGATGAATAGCTGCTGGTAAGGCCTGATCCATGTCGCCTCGAACCTCTCATCTGTCATGACGCCTTCCTGGTCACATGCCACATAACCTATCGTCCAGCGGATAGTGCCTCCCGGAATATGAGATTATAGCCATCAATCCTAAGGCAAAAGCATTGCACCTGTCGAAACCCGCCTAGTTGCGCGGGTCTCGGTTTCGGATAGATCGAGGTCGGTCGGTTCTCGGAGCGCTCGCGAAGTCAACGCGTAGAGTGCGGTCTCCTAGCTGATAGTTCTGGAGCTTGTCGAATGCCCTCTGCGCGCTCTCCATGTCCTTGAAATCAGCATGGGCGAAGCCGCGAGGCCAGCCAGTGTTGCGGTCCACAGCTACGCGCACATTGATAACGTCGTCTAGATCCCGGAAGATGTTGTTTAGATCGGCATCAGACGTCTCGTATGGAATGTTACCAATGTATAGCGAGGACGTCGGCTGTTCCGGGGCCTTTTCTCTACGCGGACCATTAGAAGGCGATGTCCTGGGCTGAACAAAGATGCGACGACCCTGCCAGAACGAGTTGTCTGCTTCCTCAATGGCGCGGCTTGCTGCCTCTGCGTTTGAGTAGGTAATGAAACCGTAGCTAAAACCCTATTAACACACGCAATTGATAACCGGAGAGTAAGAACTGTTTAAATCAATATATCCACGTACCCTTTGCTGGCGCCTGAGGGGTCACGGCCTATGCGGATTTCTACGATATCTCCATACTTGGCAAACGCCTCCCTAACAAGATCATCTGTGGCCTCGTAGGGAAGGTTCCTGACGAAGATCTTATCGGAAAGGTCATCTGGAGTCTGGTTGGCCGTAGAACCGGTCTGTTCAGCAGATCCGATGGCCCCTTCTACAGCAGCCCGCTCACTCTCATCTTGGGCAACCCGCGATGTCTGAGAGAAATGACGAGCTAGAGGCATGATAGTAGCCGGTCGCGCATTCGCCTTGCAGATCTGCATGGCAAAAGAAGCAATCTGCTGGCGCGGGGCAGCGACGGCAAGAGTTGAAGAGCATGCTGCTCTGGCAGCTGCGCGTCGAAGGGAATGCCTATTAAATCAAACAGTTAGCCCTAATTGATCTCCTATTTTCAATTAAAAAAGGTCCAGGTTCATACATTTTAGTTATAGAATCCTTTGAAATAAAGAAATGCCCCTCTGAACAATTCGGATGTGAAGTTACAAGATGTAAGGGAAGATTTTGACTTGTAAGTTGCCCTCTTAAAAAGAACTTTTGAATTGTTGAAGAAAAAAAAATTTCGCTCCACTAAGGCAAAGCCCACATAGTGTGTGTACCTTATCTGCTTATCCAAATCCACACAACTTTTAGAGCACGCCACTACGATTGCATCTAGCTACCTGCCTTAGTCAGGTACCCCGGTACTGAATTACACACATGTAGTTGCATGTGCTGATTTATCCAAATATTTTTTTTCAATCGAGTACCTCTCTGGGTACTTAAGGTATTTAAGGTATGTAAGGTATTTATAGTTACGTTGATATATCCAAATGTTTCAAAGGTCGAACCTACTTGTAGTATTTGCTCTAGTTATTACAAATTGACCTTCTTAAGCGTGGATCGCCTTAGGCTATCATAACAAAGGCAAGCCTGTTGTTATAGAAACACGGGTTATAAGCTGCCAGTGTACCATCAAACTCGTTTCAAGACCGGTATAAAATCTTGGACATGAGGCTGTATCATATCTTCGCCGTCCGAACTACGGTCTATTTGACCCGTGTTGCTTAGGTAGGTGATCCCAGTTTCAAAGGATCGTTACACGCCATTCTAACTCCCACCACAACCCCAAAGCCTTTTTTTTAGCCTCTCCTACTATTTCCCTCCATTCCCATCCCAAATATATCCTCGTAGCTATTCACCAATCGTGAATTTAAACACCCCAAATCCGTGACATAAAATTAGCCGAGCAACAGAACGGCGGGTATATGTGTATATACACTCCAATAGGCTCAACGTGAGCAGCGGTGAAACCGTGAACGATATCTCGAAGGCCGGCACTCGAGCAAGCACTAGCTAGGCATCGATATCTGCAGCCGGGTCGTCTATCCGCTGCTTGAAAATAAAATTTCGCACTTTTCCCCTTTTTCTATAGGTGGAAAGCAGAGCCATCCCTCTAGGCTAGCAATTTAGGGGTCAAGGTGATTAGATAAGGAATGACTAGCATCAATCCGCACCTTGACATCGTCGGCGAGTCCGAAGGGATCCAATAGCCACCCGCCTCAGTTCCACCAACGCCAAAATAGCAAGACTAGGCAGTATCCTTATTCCGACATAATATCCTCTGTATCAAGTTCATCCGCGCCTTGAGTTCCGAGGTGTTCATCGACGAGGAATAGCCGCTTGCTTGTACGGGGTATCGATGAAAAAGCGCTGCAAGTCTAGTTTCGATAGCTGCCGCTCCCCAATATGATATGTTTACAACAACAAAAGGAAATATGAATGATAGTAGTTACGGCTATTGGAACCGACTTTGGCGAGGATCTTGGTGAGGATCTGGGCGATATCCATTAGGTGGCCTTTGAGAATCGTATTGGACACCTGTCATGGAATCTGGATTGCTAGGAATGTTGTTACTCAAGGCTCGTAAGGGCGGGAGCTCCGGGCGGGGGGCTCTGCCGTACAGGTCCTGACCGTAGGGATCTGCAGACGGTTGTGACGGCATTGCAGTATTCGGCGGGCCCTGGCCTGGTGGTATCGGAATACTTCCTCGAAGCTGCGCGTTCTCCATGCGCAACCTATCGATTTCACGACGCAACATTTCCGCTTCTTGCATGGCGGTTTGGCAATGATTTGTAATACTCTTGAGAGCCTCGCCCTGTTTCTGATGCTCGGCAATAGCTAAATAGCAGTCAGTATGTGCGCCAATGTTTAATTGTACGGCGGCATACCTTTCGTTAGAATCTCCCACTTGGATGCTTTTGACCCTCGTTCCTGTGGCATCAAATCGCGAAGCTGGTCAAACAATTCCTTCATCTCTGTTCTCCGCTTCCGTTCCGCTAGCTTGTGACTTTTCCGAAGCTCAGGTGTCCGACTATACGGCTGATTGCCACTATGCGGGCTAGACTCTTCACTATGAAGATCCGAGAGTTGCTTGTGCTGAAGCGTGTGGTGGTGAATAGTTTGGAAATCCGGGGCCATACCATCGTCGAGACGGCGCTGCCCAGGTGGTAACCGAGACTCGGTCGTAAATTGGCTACTCGCAATCGACTCCGAGATACTACTTCTCCTAGAATCAAAAAAGGTATGGTTACCAACCGTGGATGGCATGCGCTGAATCTCCTCTTCCGGAAACGCCCAAGCTTGACCTTTAGTTGGTTCCGCTGCCCTAGCAATCGTGCTTGTGGCAGGACCAGTGATAGCCGGTGCGGTTTTAGTTGCTTTCGGATGTTGGTCGTTAGGCGTGCGTTCAACATTCGGCTGGTATCCATTAGATATCCTGTGCACCGCGAGGTGCTCCATTCCCGCGCGGGAGTTGCGTTGTTGCACCAAACTTCCATGAAACGAAGTCGTAGAGTGATTCTGACTCGCGTAAGGGGAACCACTCAACCTCAAATCACCGAACCCCTGGTTAATTCTGCTATCCACACTCTCCCGTCGTGAATCCGGCCCGACACTTGCTGCACCTAAAGACATGCCGCCGGGTATAGAATCGAAAGACTGCGGCCGATCGAAACGTCCACTACCTGGTGTCGTCGGCGACACCATCGACGCCACGCTCATGTTACTCGCGGGAGTTATTATTGGCTGGGGGACTAGGTTCGTGGTGGTCGGAGAAGGAGTCTTGTCATGGACGGAGTGGTATACATTGATACCTATGCCCGAGGCTGCAGAAGTATCTATAGGGGCTCCAGTAGTTAGCAATGCTGATACTCAACTTTCAGCTCGAGGTATAGCATAGTAATTACATACGCTTGCTAGACGCATCTGTGCTTGAATAATAAGCTGAGTCGCGATTATCCTCGGGGGCATTCAATACCGTAGCCAGCCCGGCTGGGATTTTCTGCGACACAGGTCGAGACTGGTCTGCCGCCATGCTCGCGAGATTTGAATTGGATATCTATGGAGAGAGAGAAGAAGGTAAAACAACTGTCGAGGGGCTAAGTGGGCAGCTTTAATGAGATGCCTAGTAAGTGGTGATCATTAGAGCCACCTAACGAGGACGCAAAGACGTGCGGGTGCGACGTCGCGGTATAAGTTGGTACTTTAGACTAAAGTCACCCGAACTAAGTTAACAGGCGGACGGATAGACTTGGGACGCGGCAGCGCTCGACATCGGTTTACATTGGTGAACAGGGTCTGATCAGCATTGACGCTAAATAACCAATCGTAATTAAGCGCAACTGGTCCGATAAAAGCTCGAGCTCGAGCTTGGTACTTGATGCTTGGCTCTTTGATGAGAAAGAGAAGAAAAGAAAAAGCAGAGAGCGGGAAAGAAACTAGCTAGTAGAAGTAGTAGCAGTAATAGTAGTTAATGGTAGAAGAAGTAAAATATAGTAGCGAGTAGTAGTAACAAGTAGTGATAGAGGTAGGAGGTAGTAAAGCCGACAGGGAACTATGTAGAACGACAGGTCAGGAAGCGTCAGGAACGTGTCTGTTGGTCCCGGCACGCGAATAATACAGCACTACCACAAAATGACGATGCGCATCAGAAACGACTATTGGGCGTTTGAACTTAAACGTTGGGAGGAGTATAGTTGAAAAAATGTAAAGAGGAGATTTTGACAAGTTAGGATGAATGTCCCAAGAGTAAAGAGAGGATAAAGAACCCCCCCAGCTCGAGTAGTTCCCGTCAGCACAAGGGCTCTTGTACATACAAAGTGTACATACAAAGGACGATAGGTAGGTAGTGTACGTACCTTCTAAGTGTATGTACCTATGTAAGTAGTGCCGTGTAACGGGGGGTAGTTCCCTCTTGAAGGAGGAGGGACGGGGACGGGGGAAGCGCTTTCTCAGAGAATTGAAAGCCCAAATGAAAACATGTGGAGGATGGGAAAGAAAAAAAAGAGGATCCCCCCCTTGCTAGGATCGAAGGAGGGAGGCCCTGCGCGTGTTGCTGCGGAGGAACTGCAAGAGAAATAGCAGGTCGAAAAAAAGAGCCGAGAGGATGGCCATTCCTATGTATTTCCTAATGCATACTTAGCACGCTACCTCCATGTAAGTGTTTATGTATGTAAGCGTGTCCTATAAATGTAGGAGGTACATAATGTAAGTATGTTTATAGATGTACCTACCCTACGTACGGATTAGATATGTACATCTCGAGATGTAGGGCAGCACGAGCAGAGCCACACACATGTACGTTATAGATGTATCCGAATACATAATCTGACAGATGTATGGACTGCATGTACCAGACGGATGTATGTTTAGTATGCAAGAAGGTTTGTCCATGGCGTTTAGACGATGAGACGATGCAGCTGGGCCCTCTGGCTAAGGATTTGTCGCATGGCTATTTCCAGGAATATTGCTAGCGAAGGATACCCCAACCGAGAGTATAGGGTACATGCTGTGCTATAGATTCTACGCTAGCGTGTCACTAATGCGCCGCCCGTCGTTTTCTTTTTCCTCGTGGCTAGCCATGTACCGGGCACACGTGAGGGAAGTTGAGCAGGGATTGCTTTAGGTATGCACATGTGCATGGATGGTGGAGTACGACATGGGAGCGCCCCGTGGCCGCAGTTGAAAGTGACTGAAGTTAACTATTACATGTACTATGTACGCCATCCCATATGGCATCCAAGCCTAATGCAGACGTAGCGGAATACCTACATGTACAGGTTAGGTACATAATGCAGCACGTTTATAGAGGTACCAACAAGTATGTACGCTTGCGGCTTCCATATATAAGATGTACTATGCAGCATATGTATTTCAATCAACACACAGAGGAGCAGAGTAATGTAGGTACCTACCTCTTACATTACATGTAGGTACTCAAACGTGTAGGTGTAGCGTACACCACCTCCCAACTCCAACTAAAATCGACGAAGAAAGGTTCCGGATTAGGTAGGCCTTATAATGCTAATGCTACGATCAACTTTGGATAGGATCGAGCGGCAGCAGAAGTGCAAAAGTCCAGTTCTGTGCGCGAACCTCAAATACATAGAGAGGATCTTATTCTATGACGCTATCTCCTTTTTCTTTTTTCTTTTTTTTTGGAGCCGGAAGAGCCGAATTGTAGAGTCAGAAAGTTTAATTCTTTTTTTGACACGCAAGGGAGTTTGAAGACTCGGTTCTA